TTTCTTCCTGCCTGGGCCCAAATCCCACTCTCTGGGGCCGCTCCCCAACCCCTGACCCTGCAGAACAAAAGGGAGCGTGAGCGTCTAGACCGCCAGTCTGAACGTGAGAAGGGGGCATTGTGTGACCGGGACGGAGGCCTGGCCTCCCAGGCGGAAAGGTCGGGGCGCGGGGCCGAGGAGAGGGTGGCTCTGGCCGGGCCCGCCTCTCCGGTCCCACGCACCTCCTGTCCGTCCTGGAGAAGAGACGTGGCCAGAGCTCTGCACCGGGAATCCGGCCTGGGTCGCTGCCAAGGCTGGACGCGCTGCCTCCAAGTGAAAAGTGGGGAATCCCTCGGCTCATCGCTAAAGGAACAAATCCACAGGAGGCCCTCAGAACGGTGCCTGAGTCCGGGCAGCACCCATAAACACGAGCGGTCTTTCGGGATGACCCGTTTAGAAGCTTCATGTGTATTCTGGGCTGAGGTGACGCGGGGGGGAGAGGCCCCCTCAGGGACCCTAGGGTCTTCCTGAGTCTGGAAGACCCTGCTCCACGTGGAGGAGGGGACACGTTCCTGGACACTTCCCTGGCTGCCGGCTGTGTGACCCCAGTCCCCTATTCACTCTCTCTGGGTCTCAGGGACCCCCATCTGTATAAAGAGGGGCTCGGATCAGATCTGTGGTTTTTCAGGATTATCTTACCAGCAGAAGCCTTTGGCTTGGAAGGGCGGACCTGGGAGCTCCAGGGATCAAACAGAAACAAAGAGCCCTGCTAGTACTGCCATGAGGCCCCCAGGGTGTGAGGCTCTGCACCCAGTGGCCGAGGTTTACTGGGCACTTACTACGTGCCGGGTGCCGGCTGAGCCTCCTCTAACACCCGTGGGCTTCGTCCCTTTGCCTCTGAGACTGAAACTGGGTATCAGCCCATTTGACAGACAAGGAGCTCAAGGCTCTGAGTGGCAGAAGCAGAGGCTCAAAGGCCAGGCCACCTGTCTGTAGAGAGCTGCGCCGGGGGCGCGGCAGGAGGTCCCCACATGGGCCTCCCACCCCACACGTCCCAGGGAAGAGATGCTGGGCAGCTGTGCAAGAAGAGACAGCCAGGGGGGTGGGGAGGTGACACGTCCCTCCCCCTCCCCAAAATGCTGGTGTGTGTATGGGGGCAGGGGGGTGGACCTGCACCCATCTCCCCAGCCGTTGCTACCAACTCTTTATCAGCCGTCACTGCAAATGCCTGGAGAAGGGCCCGCAGAGCACTTTCAGCAGCATAAACCTGTCTCCACGTGATGGGATCACAGGCATTTTGACTTTTGTCTTGGTCATTTATCAAATTCTTTGAATTTTTGTTAAATAAGGGGCACATATCACCTCTTACCATCAGAAGAACTGCGCTATTTTCATGGCAAAACAAAAGGAGAACTGCCCATTCTCCCCGGCGGGGTGGGGTGCATCGCTTCTGGGCGTCCTCAGGGGTCCTGGCTGGAAATACACGGCAGATGCCAGAGAAGCGGGCACGCAGGTGCGCCCCGTGATCCCCGGCTTGGAATCTGTCCTAGGAAGCACTCAGAGAGGGAACCAAAGTCTCGAGGATGCCCCCACCCACCAGAACTAGCAGTTTCTCTTCTGCCCCGGCTGATTGGGATCTAGGACCCGCGTTCCTGAATCCCTATCTCCTTACAAGAGAATTGCAAAAATGCAGGTTCCCGGCCTACGCCAGGTTTCTGGACCAGCACCCCCGCGGGAGAGGCGGGAAGCCTCTCCTTTTCAGTTCCATATCTAAGTGAACCGTTGCACCTGATGAATGAGGAGGCATCTTCTGGCGGCCATAGTCGAGTTTCTCTTTGTCAGGGTTGTATACTTCTAGAACGTTCAGCCCAACACATAGTAGGTATTCAATAGATGTGGTGAAGGAGCTTGTGAACGAGGGAGTAAAATACGGAGGGAGATAACCCACCAGGAAGGTTCCTACATGAGCGCAAGATTACGGATAAGACACCCCGCCCTCGCCTCTGGCCCCCCCCATTAGGATGTCACAAGGGGACCCTTCTTCCCTAGCTCTTCCTCCTCAGGAGCACATCCACAGAGGTGCCTCCAGTAGGGGGCTGGGCTGGGGTCTGGAGGCACCGCAGGCTCTGGAGGGGGAGGGGCGGTGACGCAGGGCTGAGTCACAAAGGGTCTCTGGGCAGGTTGTGGCAAGGGTGAAGTTGCTGCCCGCGGGACCACGACTTAATAACAGAACACGCTACAATTCTTGAGCATTTACAAGGCACGGAGCACTGAGCTAAGCACATATTCCTCATTTGATCCCCACTATGATCCTACGAAATGACTCTTAGGATCCCCATTTTACAGATGAGGAAACAGAGGCCCAGAGCGGAGAAACAACCGCAGGGACACTCCCCTGGCGGTGGGGATCCACAGAGGCCCTTGCTGCCTTCCCCTCCTTGGGTCTGGGTCCGCAGTGCCCGCCCACTCCAGACACGGGGGTCTGGCCTTCCCGAGGACCTCGCCAGGCTGCAGGCTTCAGGGCCGGGACAGAGGGCTGGAGCCCCCAACCTCGGCATCCCTGGTGCCCGGTGCCCCCGGGCCTGGTCCTTCTCCAGAAGACCCCTCCTCTGCTCAGGCCGCTGCTGCTTCACAGCAGCCTGAACCTGCACCTGGCCTACAGCCAGCGGAGGACAGGACAGCGCGGCCAAGGCCACTCCTGGCCCCAGGACGAATTCCTTGAGGGCTGAGGCTGCCAGATGGAGAAGAGGCAGAGTGGCCTCTCCCACGCCGGCTGGCGCTGCTGGCTTGGCACCCACTGGCAGGGCGGCCCATGGAAGCCAGAGTCAACCTGGAGCTCCAAGTCCTCTCCAGGGTGCAGCCCCCATGTCACCTGGACGCTCTTCCAGGCAGAGAGGAAGAGCTCTGGGAGCCCTGAGCCTCCATCTCCCCCAGTGACTGGCAAGGCAGTTCCGATCCCTAAGAGGCCATGAGGATCCATCCCTTGGCGGAGCCCGCAGCCCACACTCAGCTAAATGCATGGGCCGGGGAGCCAGGCTGCTAGGGGTTCAGGTCCTGGCTCTGCCACTTACCAGGCATGGGACCTAAAGCAAATACCCTCTAAACCTCGGTGTGCACATCTGCACAATGGGTCTAACGGCAGCAAAGGCTGCCAGGGAGCTGGGAGGATTCCACACCCAGGGAGAAGAGTGCTGGGCAATGTGCTCAGGGGCACAGCGGGGCTGCCCGCGAGCCGTTCCATTCTCGGGGCTGTCTTCCCGGCTTTCACACCTCATCGTCCTCAGCTGCTACTTCAGGCCCCGCTGTGCATCGAGGTCTCAGGGGAAGTGGTCAACCCCGAATCTGACCAGAACCAACCAGGCAGACTGAGGGCGCAAAGAGACAGCACAAAGCCCGGGCAGGCCCCGAGGCAACACCACCACAACATCCACACTCCTCTTGTGAGCAGGCCAGGGGCCTCCGCCTCTGCATTCCCACCCGTGCGGCCAGGACCTTTCACATTCCAGCCAAGCTGCAATGCCTCTGTGGGTTGCAATAAAAATTCCTAGACAGGTAGTCAGGTAGGAGGCCGGCTCTAGGATGAACAGAGAGAGGGGGCAAGGGGGTAAGCGCCATGAGCTCTCCTTGGCCTTACCCAGTGTGGCCGGTGGGGTATCCTCCTCGCCTGTGCCCCCACGGTCCCCTAGGACCAGACCCAGACCCGGGGTCTGAGGCCTGGGCTCCAGGTCCAGGAAGGTCAGTGAGTCAGGAGCCCCCTGGGAAGGAGCCGGCCTCACCCCAGCCAGACCAGCCTCACGGGGTGGGTCCCTCGAGGGACTCTCAGATCTCTGAGGAGGTTCGACTGTGGTGTCACTGTGGGGTCCTCAAACAGCTCCCTCCAGCACCTGTCACACGCCAACTGTTTTGAAAGTAGCAGAAATAAAGCACAAGCTCTGCCAAAGCCTGAGCCAGACAGGCAGCAGAACTTCCCCCAACGCCTCTGCCACCGGAGCCTTTCCCAGCAGTGACCCGGCGATGGCGGGGATGATGCAGCGTGGTTGGCAGACGTGCCCATGCACCCCTGAGAGGCCCAGAGCTACGACACACCTAGGCCCTTTGCTTCACTTGCTTCCCACTGTGTCCCCTTACCCCCAGAGCCAAAACTGTGCATTAGGAGGCTCGGTAGTAAATCACAGATCTATTCTGCAAAGCATCAAACCATTTCAGGCACCGTAGGACAATTAAATTAAGGAGGTTTTTTTCCATTACAGAAAAAGAACTTAGAGATCTCGGTTAAAACACACACAGAGATCCAGATGACACACAGCTGCGACAGGCACTCCCCTGCAAACTGTGTGGGGTGCATCAAGAGTCCAAGGGGGCAAAGGCTTGGCTTCCCCATCACCGGCACCATCCCGAGAACAAGCCTGGAGCCCTGTCACCTGCCTGACACTGCCCCAAGCTCTGTGTCTGGAGGAAGGATGCGGATCTCCCCTTCATCCCTAACTTCCCACCCCCAATCTTGCTCCCCCACCTTGGGTTCCCTTCCTTCAGAGGACCCCGCAACCCTGAACCTTGATCTCATTAGAATCGAGCTGACCCCAACCTTCAAATGGCTGGGTGACCTCAGAAGACCAAAGGGCGAGGTGCTTCCATTCTGCAGGAGGTGCCACCCGTCTGCGGTTGCTAATAGGGACCCCCGAGGAGTCCTTGACAGGAGCCTCTTAGAACGTGACTCTCCCCCAGGCTTCCCGATTTCGGCCACTTCCAAATACCCCTTAAAGGAACTAAAAATCCTAAATATTTTAATTTTTAAAATTTAAATTCTAGCCTATCAACTCACCTTCACCACATACTCTCGTCTTAAACAGTAGCCCTCATGAAATCAGGGCCACGCTTTTTCCGTTTTATCCTGACATGCGTTTAACATACATCAGCCTAAGTGCGTAACGGCGAAATTTAAAACGCCCATCCACATGCCACTGAAAGTGGTCTCCCGGGCTCCTGGTTTGCCGTGGGCCTGTCGACGTCTCCAAACTTACAAGGTAGGGCAGTGAGGACACAGGTGGTTTCAACGGAATCCAGATGTAGCTCCGTCAATTCATGGTGGGCACGCGTGCCCTTGGGCAAGCGCCTTCTGTCCTCCGCACGTCAGTCTGCCCATCCGGAAAACAGGTCTAGTCACAGCGGCTCCCACGAGGGCTCCATGTGACGTGGCGGCTGGCATCAGCGACGGCAGGACCGAATCGTGTTGCCACACACAGCCCCAGGGAGCCAGAACACTGCAACCACCCCCCATTTTATGGCCGAAGCAAGGACCAGGGGTGCAAAAGCCACAACAGCAATGCCACCACGATTCTGAAGCGGCCCCGGCCTCTGAAGCGGTTCTGTGGGGTCTGTTCCTCCCGCAGAGAAGGCGAGCCGGGGCCCCCAGGGTGCCAGCCCCACACTCCCCAGGGGGACCTGCTCCAACCCCCGACCCACAGCCCCATTCCGAGGCCCCAGCCCTCCGTCAGCCGGCAGGAACGCGGCCTCACTGCTAGGGCCTCTGAGTAACCGCCTCCCCCAGACATGATTCATACCTGTCTGGGGTCACCCACATCCTCATTCCCTGCAAAGGAATGCACGCCAGGTGAGGCGAGCAGGCGGGCTGGCATGGGTGCCGGGCGGCGCCAGAGGTGCAGCCTGCGGGGTCTCAAGGACTCCGCTGCAGAGTCCCCCCTGGCTGGGGCTGGACAGACAGACGTCCGGGTCTGGGGTACCCGTCTACGAGGCCCAGATGCAGGTTATCAACGCTCCCCCCCAACGGCGGCAGCTGGCGTTCCACCAGTGGACGGTGATTCTCTGGGTCCAGCGTGGCCCCTTACAGTTCCTTTGCCTTGGTGAGCGTTGCCACCCCGAGCTTCCCCTGCGCTAGGGAATAGGACGCACCCATACAAAGGCATCACTACGGATCCACACCACGCGATGGGGCTCAAAGTCGGGAGAATGAGCGGGAAAAGCCAGTCACAGCAAACATACAGTGTGATTTCATTTATGCAAAGTTCTCCACTAGGAAAGACCGGCCGGCAGTGTCTGCTCCAGGGGGTGGGCACAGACCAGAAGGGGGCCGGGGGACCTGTCCCGGGATGGGGGGCTGTCGGGTCAGTCTGGACGAGTGTCCCATACACACGTTTGCCAAAACTCATCACGGCCTACGCTATGTCTGTGCACCTTGGTGCCTGTAGTTATACCTCAATAAACACATCAGAGCAGGGAAGACATGGGTTCCAGGGGAAGGCTAACAATTTAGGGGAAGAGAAGGGACGCGCAGGTGAGGTCCGATGGGCTCCTTCTTCTTGCAACGGGCTAGGTTTGACTGCGCCCATTTGACAGAGAAGAAAATGGATGGGAGGAGATGATAGGAGAGACCAGCACAGGCTCTTCTAGGGGATCAGGGCCAAGAAAACCTCCTGTCCAGAAAGCCTTCAAACGGGGGCCCACCAGTGCCATCTCTGCCTGTCTTCTCCCCCTCTGGCACCTTGTGCCAAGAAACCTTTGCAGAGAAGCAATGTGCCACCTCCGGTGAGGCAGAAAGCCTCACATAGGTTGCCAGAAATCGAGGTTTCTGGCCAGCCACAGGGCGTGGAAAGAGAAGTCAGGATGCCAAGGGCCCATCCCGACCATGGTGTCCATCAAACCCCAGGTAATCCCCCCAACCCCGAGGTTGGCCAGAGGCCTCCGGGGTCACTCAGTCGTTCCAAGCACCTGGTCCAGAACACAACACACAGGTGAGCCCCGTGCTGGGAGACAAGGCCCCCTGGCGTCCTGCTGCTGGGAGGACGGACGCACATGAGTGGGAGCACCAAGCCGGCATACCCAGAGTCCCTGCTGCTATGACGTATCCTTGTGATGACAACAGTATTAGTAGCAGGCTTCGTTTAATAACTGAGGGGCTCTGGGGGTGAAGACTGGCCTTGGTTTGCTCCTCTCCCTTGCTGGAGCAGCCTTAGTTGTGGCCACACGCTGGAATTACCCAGAGGATTTGCATCCTGGCTCCCTGCCCTGTCCCCAGTCATTGGCCTGGGGTGCACCTGAGTGCCCGACTATGAGCCTCGAGGCGGACCTCCTGTGCAGCCAGCACGGCAACGGCTGAGTGCAGAGGGTGCTGCAGGAGCACCTTCCAGCCGTGAGGCTCACTAAGCTGTCTCCACCCCCTCTCGGGAGCCCAGGCCTACCCAGCACCCCAGAGGCTGCAGTCACCCCTCTCTCCCTTCAGCTGCAGCTCAATGCCGGACAAACCCTTGCTATCTCAGGCCTGTGCCCCAGGCATCGCCACCAGGTGACCCTTCCAAGGAGGGATGTGGAGAGGCGGCTGGAGAAGCCAGGGAGCAAAGGCAGGGACACCAACACCCTTGCAGTGGGGGGCGAGTGATTCCGAAGTCTAGAGGATGGCAGGCCAAGCACAGGCTTCGGAGCCCCGTGGCCCAGGTTCAAATCCTGCTCTGCTACTCGTGATCTCCCACACCGCAGCACGTGACCTGGCTTGGCCTCCTCAGGTACACACGAGGGGCACCCCAAGGACAGTGAGGCAGGGCACGCACAAGAGGAAGAGCAGGGTGTTAAAAGCCACAAGGCCACTATGGGTGGACGCAGAGAAAATTGCTCCCAATCCTCATCCCCCCTCGTCCCAGTCTATTCTGGGGAAAGGGTCCAGAGCTCATTCTTACTAGAGTGTAAAGGAATGCTACAATGTGTATAGCATAGGCCTCAGGATATCCAGGGCAAAGATGCTGTTGAGGTAAAGGGGAGGCTTCTGTGACATGTAGGCTCGTGACCCCGATTTTAAAGAAAGACAAATGAAGTGCTGTCGGGGAGTTGGGGAGTAACAGGGATGGGTCTTTCTGCAGATCTCACCTTGCATGAGCTTGGAGGTCTGGGAGGCACCCAAGCCTGAGAGCTGAAGGCAGGGGCCTGGGCCACTCCAAGGTGGTGGCACATTCTTAGAACTCACAGAAGGGACGAAGTCCTGCGGCCCTGACGCCTCTCCCGGCCGGACTTCCCTGCACAGACAACTCTCAGCTTCCTTCCTGAGGATCGTCGACATCACCGTCGAGCCCTCCCCGAGCCCCGCCAAGAGTGGACGCTGCTATGCAGGAGCAATGTCTGTCACGGGGCAGGAAGGACAGTGCGGGACCGACAGCCACGCACTCATCCCTGATCCACACCCTGGGAGTCACAAAGCCGCTCAACGAACACCAGCTGGGCTCTCCTAGTCTAAGGAAAGGGTCACAGGAGCTGGGGATTCACAAATTCGCGAGCCAGACCGCAGGATCCAGCGGAGTGAGTTATTAGGCTGACGGAGAGTCACCAGAGAAGCAGGCTGCGGGGAGAAGTATTCGTCAACTCCACGTAAGTGACTGTGGGATTACGCACTTGCAGGCAGGGCCTGGATTTACACGGACAACTGGAAGCTGGACTTGTAATTACACCTCTGGGCCATGCAGCGAGCAACTCTAATTAGCCTCTAGATGGGAGGGTAGTGACAATTTTATTTAGGGCCAAAAGTAAGTAATAAAATTAGGCAGAATGAGCCACTCCACGCGTAAAGTCCCCACACTTTGCAGAATAACGAAATGACAGGCTTGACAATTGCAAACATCTAATAATTGTCGTTGTTAGGAAAACCGAAGGGACGCTGGGGAATGGCCTCTGACTCTTAAGCCTGGACATTTAAAATGTTGCATGGTGGACACGCCCCCCCCCCCCCGTCGATGTTTTTTGTTGTTTTTTTTGTTTGTTCGTTTTTTTAAGACAAGATTCTCTGCATCTGTACCTCTTCAACAGTAAAGGGCTCCAGGACGCCGACGGGGGCGTCCCTATGTGCCAGCCTGCTCGGGAACCGGGATCCATAAACACGGGCCAGATACAGCCGAGATAGGAGCGTATTTAGCTGTGATCTATCGTAACGATCACCAGCAGCAAATGGAGTGGCGTTTAAAGGGCCTGTTGGTGTTATTTAATCGGTTATATTCACCAACGTAATCGACACCCTCTCCATCATCTCAATACACCCACCTCTCCCTCCCATACCATAAATAGATTAGAAAAAATAGTTTCCTGCTATGGCCGTGACCCCATCGGCTGCCAAGCTCAGCCTGGTATGAATCACTCGGGGCTCACCGCGACGGCATTTCAAATGACTGAATGATAACGGGGCGGTACAGACACCAATAAATGAATCATGCCTTCCGCAAGACCAAACCTTTGGCTTTTACAGACACCAATTACAAAGTAGAAAGAAAAGAACAAAGAAATTACTCAGGGTGTTTGCGCAAAGTTGATTCATAGGTTTACAGAATTATTACCGACGAAATTGTTTTTAGGAAGGCAATTAGAGCTATGACCTGCTCCGGCACCATCATCAGCCTATCGACATGGGAATGTGCAAAATGGGGCAGAGGAGGGCAGCCCCCAAAGTCTTGCAGGGCACCCAGGGACCTCCCTTTCTGCCTCCCCCTGGCGGGTTGTTTAAGACTTCCGTGAAATCCTTAAAACCTGTAGCCACACCAGCGACGTAGAGGAAGCAGGCACATTTACACCCAGTTCCTGTAGAAATCTTGGTATCAACTTTTATTTATTTATTTATTTTTATTCTTTAAATGCAGCAGCCACAGTAGAACATAGAGATCCTCTCTTCTGGGACCAGGATTTGGAAACACATCATCTACCACAACCAAACGCTCACACAATTTCTCCATGCGAACCGACTGCAGATAATTCAGACCAAAGCTATTTTACCTACTATAAAACTTGGGGGTAGATGAAGAAAGAGCATGCGCTGTGGCCACATGCAAACTCTGAGCCTCTCCGTTAACAAAGTGTGACCTCTGGGATGAGTCAGCCCACAGGCCTTGGGTTGGGGCTTGCTGGCCAGGCTTCCTGGACAAACTTCTGCAAAGTGTAGGAGCATCGCCGTCAGGAATGTCAGATCCTGTGGGCAAACCGACGTGGGAGAGAATAACACCGAGCTTACACCTGGCTTATGCTCTCAGGCAGCCGGGCCTCTAACCACCGGCTCCCTGGACCATTCATGGGTACAGCAAGCAGGTGCCCTGGGCAACGCCAGCCCCTGGTAGTGGCCAGGTCACGCAGGCCACTGGGGCAGAAAAACCTCTTTTGGGAAAGGACTGTTTGCTTTCCCCAAAATTTGCTAGAAATCTGACTCAGCTCCCTGCGTCTCTTTCTTCTCAAAAAGGGGCCTGGGAACCCCGATTTCACCCACGCTGGTGGACCCGGGCATAGCCAGGGGAAGGCTCAGGCTCAATGCTGGGCACACCTGTGGGAGGCAGGGTCCCCACGGGGGCCTCCAGTCAAGGGACCTCAAAAAAGGCTTGGTGGGTGGAACACACACATTTTAAAACATGCGTATTTTGTATCATGAAACATTTATGTATCTCTCATAGATCCAAAGATATGCGGTTTTATATATTAAAGCACACATTGCGGTATTTTTAACCACTGACACCCAAACAAATCCGCAGCTGGATTTGTCACTTTTACCACCCCCCACCAAAGCCAGGGATGGAACCACCATGTCCTGGAGACCTAAGGACCAACAGGGACTCTCGGACCCCTGCAGCCTACGTGATGTGCATGCCAGGGATCGACGACTCCCCATCGGTGACAGTAAAGGACGGCGGCTGCTCCCGACAGACCCCATCATGTGTCAGCAGTTCACAGGATATCACCCACGCACCCAGTGGTCACAGGGGCAAGTGAGGGACATCGTAAATCCATCCCCTCACCAGCTGCTTCACTGTTTATTGAACACCTACTCTGAGCCAAAGAGCATGCAAAAGCCGACCAGGACTCGGCACCGCCATCCCCCTCTCCATCACCGCCAAAATCTCCACGAGGGACAAAAGACACAGGACAAGCTCTCCAAACGTAAAAGGCAGGGTGGGATCTTGAACCTGCGCGGCTGTTCAGAGCTGTAGGTGTGTCTGTCTGTCAGGCCCCGGGGGAGCCCAGTGCTGCAGGCCAAGGAGAGCTGGCAGGTGCTTCTGTAGGGGACGGAGGAGCCTTAGGAGCGTTCAGAGCTGGCTCCTAGGGGCCAGAAGCAAACTGTATTCAGCTTCCAGATCCCAGGGCCACTGGGGATGGTACACTTGCTACCAAATAATTAAAACTCTTCTGCTAGTAGAGCTATTTCCCAAACCCACTGGCACGATACTCATGGATTTTAGATCCGATACGTCTAAAGGGAAGAAACTCAAGACTCCAGGTTCCCTGAGGCTTCTGACATCCTCACCAGGCACTGCAGGCACCAACTCTAAGCCAAAGGACCCACCCCTTCTTCTTCCCACCCCCGACCCAACAGAAAACAAATACATATTAGAACCTGCCGGGACATCAGGAAGATCCCATGATCCCTGATACCTCAGCAGGTGAGTCACGGGAGCCACCCAGGCTCCTTTCAACACGTGGCGTCTCACCGTCGCCTCAGAGCGACCTCCAGCTCTGCTCGCGGGTGACAATGGGTGGGAGAGTAACCCTCCAAAACACCCCAGGTCTAAAGCAGGTCTGTGCAGAAAAGAACTGCCCTATAAATTCTCCTGCCGGGGCGGGTGGCAATGCACCTTTGTCATCTCGATACTCTGAGGACTGACAATAGGGAAGAGACCTCAACCTCGTGGGACCACCGTGGCTGAAGCAGGGGAGGCAGGTCTGCAGCAGGGCATTTCTCCGCCTGCCCCTTAGTGCGGCTTTGACCTTTCCCCGAGGTGACGAAGCCCGGAGGCTGAGGCACCTTTCCTGCCCCAAACAGTGGAAAGTTCCTTGATGGTTCAGAATACTACTTGGTGCCGGAGGCACTTTTCATTGCTCAGGCAACTGCCCTGCCAACCTAGGAAGCAGGTGTGAGCCTTCTCTCCATTTCACAGACGTGCTAGTGGAGGCCCGGGAGGGACTCGGCCCTTGTCCCAAAAAAGATGGTTTTCAGAGTCTTTATCTTGACCGTATCCTGTCCACTCCGGACTCTTCTTCCAGGCTGCCTACCGCCCTGCCCATGCCCACTTCCTTCCCCACCTCATTCACACTCAGGGTTTCCACAGGTTCAGGGGGATATACTGAGCAAAACGGGCACGGTCCCCAACCCCTCAGTGTCTGGGGACCAGGAGCAACACAACGGACAACTAATTGAACGGTACCCCACACAACACGACAAGTGCAACAGGAGAGCCCGGCGTGCTCTTGGAGTCGAAACCGGATGACGGGTCTGAGACCCTGGGGGGACCTGCCTGAGAGAGGCTTTGAGAGTCGCCTCGGGTTCATTCCCAATTGGCTCCCTCCCTGGAATTAACTCACTTTGCGTCTGCTCACTAGAAGGGCGGCTCTCAGAGGGCAGGGTTGTGTCTATACGGTCGGTCCAGGCATTCTGCACCACAGTCACTAACTACGTGACGAAGCGCTGGATGGCTGAGCACCTAAAGGATGCCACGTGCCCCACACCCGCCCCCGGAAAGTCTGCATTTTCCTCACCTGGCAGTGCAGACCCCAGATGGCCTGGAAATCAGGGTAAGGTTAACAGACATGGTTCCTCCGGGAACATCCCTGGGCCATGCAGCAATCTCCTGCCCCAACATCTGACGGTGGTGGTGGTGGGAGGGGGGTGTAGACAGGGATGCCAGCTCCCGGTGCAGCCTCCTAAGGGACACCTGCCAGGGGGACATCTCACCTGCCTGGGGGACATCTCACATAGCTAGTGTCCGGCCAGAGTGGAATGGACCCGACCGCACACCCGAGATCTGCTCCCGTTCTTCCCTAGTGAACAGTCCGATGGGCGCTTGCAGTCTTGGGACAAAATCCAAACTACCACTGCCGTGTCGAGTCTTGCAAAGATAATGCTGGGGCTCAGGGAGTCGATGTGGTGTTGTGGGGTTAGAAATCAGGGGAGCCCGAGCATGGGGGTCAGGGAGCTTAGGTCTGAATTCCAACAGATCATCAGTTCCTGGCTGTGTGACCTGGGGCAAGTGTCTCACCCTCTCTGGACCCATTTTGGAATCTGCAAATTGGCGACAGCGTTAGCTCTCGCAGAGCTGTTTTGAAGATTAAGAAAAATGCGTCACTAGTACCTGGCACATAATAAGTTCTCTATATCCAACTAGGAAAGGGAGGGGAAGCAAAAATCCATCAGTCACCCTGGAAACAGAAGAGAAACGCCGTTCTGTGGCTCTCGGAAAGCCCGGGGATGCCCCAACCCTCTCCAGGCCCATCCCAGGGCACCGAAGCCCCCGCTCTCGTCAGCAAGCCGCTCTGGGACTTTTCCCAGCGTGGTGACAGGCACTTGCACGGGTACCTGACAAGGCCCTGACGAGACACAGAGGTGTCACAGATTGGCTCTGTAGTGTCACCCGAAGGGAAAGGGAGGTTGACTGTCAATGCTCCGAGTTGTCATGACTTCATGGAGGGGTGCAGCCCACCTCGGGGAGGGGGCAGGGCAGCACAGAAGACACAGGTTCTCGGAGACGGGGAGCAGATGTGCCCCCCCACCCACCCCCATCGGCGAAGAAGATCAGGCTCTTATTTTGAGGGTCCACGGCCTGTACACCCTTATTTGTTAAAAAAAAAAAAACCCTGACATTAATTTTCAAAAAATGGGAGCCGCAAAGCATCACCAGTTCCTGGGCTTTGTGCTCTGAGTCTTCTGAGCTGGACCTAGTGGGGGGGTCTGGAGG